CTGCTTCTGTTCTGGGCACTATTTCCCAGTCTTTCCACTTATGAATCCTTCAACGGCAAGGGATTTTGCACAGCAATCCAGATCACTCCTCGGTTTCACAGACATCCTAGTAAGAGTAAAAAGTACGAAACACTTAAAGATTAAAATTTAAAAATTACAACTATTTCAAAGTAGCTTTGAGAGGAAATTTTTCTGTCATTTCTTTCCTTCACACTTTAATTTCTTCCAGAAATTTCTTTTGTGGATGGAAAATAACTCTCTCTGGACATCTTAGGCTCTTTCTCTATTAAAAATGAAAAAGAAGGCTCAGGAGAGGAACAGTTCTTCCCAGCTGCCGTCAGACCCCATGTCTGAATCTTTAGCCACAAGTCAGTTCATGTGTGTCCCCTTGCCCCCACTTCCAAGAGTCATCCCAGGGTCCTTCCTGTTTCTTAGCAAGGTCCTCCCTCTGAACAAGTCATCCTTTTTGTTCCAAAAATGAAACTTGGAGTAAAACTAACCTGGCGACCACTGAAGTACAGAAAGAATGACTTGTGACCACTGGGGTGAGGGCACTGCAGGTGGCACTCTGGAGGCACAAGCTCTCTGCCATTGTAAGCCCACTGCCCCTCCTTGCTCCACCCCTTCTCAGAGACTCATTGCCGCTGGGTCTCAAGTAGTGCACAAGGGAATGGAAGTGGGCAGCTTCTGATCCCACAGGATCTGATCCTGGGGCTCCTGTGGGTCTTCAGAGAGACACATGCTGGCTTCCTAGAGGAACACAATATGGAGTTCTTGAGATTGATAAGCAACTCTCAGCACCTGGCTCCTGGACAGTTCAAGCAAGGATGTGAGACTGGATGCTGGAAAATGCCACTAAAACTGCATCCATGAGTTGTGCTTCTCGCTTCATTATGGGCATCTCTGTGTGGATCCAGACAGCAGAGTCCATTGGGATATGGAGTCGAATAAGGCCCCTTGAGGAAGCTGTGGAAGCAACAACAATACTGTGTGCTTAGCTGATAGATTCTTCCCCGGGGCTTCCACTGCTACCACAGTGGATCCTTCTTCAGAAAAGACCTGAGACTGTCCCTGGCAACTTAGACCTGCCTTGTCACCATTCTCCAGAGAGACTAAGGTTCAACCTAAAATCACAACAGGGTGGAGACTTTGCTCCTGAGACAGGAGGGGCTATCCTTAGAATTCTGGGGTTTGGCACCATTGTCCGAGGGTGTTGTGGGCATAATTGATAGGGGCACATGGCAAGGTCTATGCTGTCCTGGCTGGGTGTGCAAGCTCAGCTGAATTTCTTCTGTTGCTGAGTAAAGAACACAAAGTCTTGAGGACTTCGAGGACAGACTTTTAATCCCTGCTCTGCCATTTGAGTGACCTCAGTGAAAGGAAGTGGGAAATAAATTATTAGATGCCTAAAAGTTCCGGGTAGTGTGCTTACACTGGAGCCTATGGGTCTAACTCCAAAGCCCATTTCCCCTCTCTGTGAGCCTCCATCCTATACTCAAGGCCAAGGGACCTATATTTCAGGCAGAGCTATTTGAGTCAAGACAATCCCTTCCATTGTCTGGAAAATGGGATCATCTCTTTCCTGTTGATCCTATTAGGTGATGGTAAAGTTAACGTGAAATCATATAGTGAATGAACACCTTTTGATATTCAGTGTGTGTTTGGTAAATCCATCTGATGTGGGAGGATAGCTGAGGGAAATTTTGGAAAATACAGATTGCTGATGGCTTGATTCGGTGGCCCTGAGAACCCCTGTCTTTAAAAACATCCCAGTGCTCAGGAGATTTGTGAAGCAGCTTCTGCTTGCAGATGTGAAGGATGAATACCTAACACAGTGAAGTCAGGACTTAGCTTCCTCTTTCTTGCCCCAGCCAAGATGTGGCCAACCCTGGCCCTGCCTGTAGTCTCTACCTCTGAAGTCTTCCATTCCATTCTTTTGCTGATATAATTTGGCTGCCTCTCAGTACCTCACAGCCAAAGACCAAGGGAAGGGTGGAGAAGAGTAGGAAAGAAAAGGATCTGAGCCAGAATGCAAATTTCCTTTAGTTCCCCAAACCAGGTGAGCAGGCATGGAGGCTCTCCAAGCCACAGGTAGAGAGCCAGCCAGAGTTTGAGTAACTGGTAAGGTATCCAAGCAGTGTCTCACCCTTCTGCCTTTGGCTATAAAACAGTATGTGTTGGTTGAATCTCAAGAGACACATCTTGGATTTGTGTCCCTTTGCTTGATATTTTGGGAGGAAAGAAAGAGAGCCTGAGACAAGTCTTTATGTTGAAATTCTCAACTATCTCTACCCAAAGCAGAGCACCATGGCATGCATGACTCCAAATGAGAGGGCACTGATCAGCCACTTCCAAAGGCTTTTGTCCCAATGGCATGCACCTCCCCCAACCCTTCTATTAAAGCTACTTTGCAAGTTTGCTTGCTTCCAGTAACATCAGTACTGGTTTTCATCTTGTGGGAAGGATTGGCTGGGATCTTGGCATGAGGAGATCTCAAGCTTGGAGGACCCTCTTGGCTGAAAACTCAGACTTTGAGAGCTCCAGGAGGTCAGCTCTGACCAACACACTGTGAGAAGGTGGGATCCCCAGAAAGGGCCCAATGTGATTCCCAAGCCAATCATCTTCCCTATGCTGCCTCCTGATTTCTATGGTTGGGTTGTTTTTATCTTACATGGCTAGGATTCAAGGAGCCCCTTGTAACCAGAACCTAGCCCAAAGTAGGTGTCTGATATTTGTGGGCAGAGGGGAGCTGAGTTCTAGTCCTGTGACTGCTAATCAACTGTGTGATCTTGGGCAAGTCACTAGGGCTTCTGAACCTCATTTTCTTACTTATACCTCAGAGAATTGGTATATATGGTGACCTTTGGAAGTTTCTAGGCTTCTACATGCCAGGATCTGTTTTCAGCTCCAAACCGTGTGGCTGGACAGGTCAAGAGTTCTGCTCATAGATGAACCTCATTGGCTGAGAAGCTTTCACAGAGTCCCTAGAGGGGAGGCCAAAGCCAGAGCTGGCCCCTCCCTTCCTCAAGGTCACTGAAGTAGAGAAGAACTAAGAATAGAATTGAGGCCTCCTCTTGACTCACCCTCCCCTGGAAGCTGACCCAGGGGCCTTTAGTGGCAGTGGCTGGGAGTAAGAGCTGGACTCCAGGCCCTGGTCCTGCTTATTTATAGGTGCTTCTTCTCCAGTGCCAAGCCAGGGATGGTCTGGGATAGCTTCAGAGGAGACACAGAGGGAGATTCACAGGCAGAATCAAGAGAGACACAGAAGTCAGTGCTGGCTCCCACTTCCTGAGGGGCTCTGCCAGCCCCCGAGATGCCAGATGCAGAAGGAGCAGTACAGGGACTGCACCCTAAGGCTGTGATGTTTTCCCTTTGACTGTGGCTACCTGGAGGTAATTGTTGGCTGAAGGTTTCTTCTAAGCACAGGCACCTCCTCAGTCCAAGTTCTAGACTTGCTCTGATGGCTGAAGACCCAAACTTTTTCAAGTCCTACAACCAAGCAAGGAAGCTGGAGTCACCCCCAACCCCATGTTTACTCTCTTGTCTTGACTTCTTACCTGTCTCTAAATTCTTGTACATCATACCTTGTGATCCCAGATTGAGCTTTGGAATGTGGGCTTTAATGGCTGTTGAGTTTATTAACTGATTCAAGCCCTGATTTCTGATGAGGATCTATAGTTGGGAAGAGACCCAGGCAGTACTTCTAAGCCTCCCTCTACTATATTTTAGTGCCCTTTCTCCAAATCTAGATAGCGATCTCTCACATATTCAGTTCCTCTTTCACAGTTCTTTCAAGCACCAGGTCATACACCTAGGTGCCCAAAAAGCAGGGAGGGCCCATTGTTCTTCTTGGAGGCCTGCAGTTAAGCCTTCTTCCTCTAAGTGTCAGGAGACCCTTGACATCAAGTTCAAGAAATGCCAGAAAAAAAATTCTACTTGGCCACCTCAGCTACGGCGAGAACAAATTGCATGATTCTTACTGGTTCACAGTGAGGGGCAAAGGGAACTCTGTCTCCAATAGAATTCTGTTTCGAGAACTTGAAGAAAAGAATCAATAGCACATGCTGAGTTGCGATTCATATATGATACCATTAGAAGACAGGTTATACAGAGGCAAGGCGAGGGCACCTTTATTATTATTATTATTATTATTATTATTATTATTTGCTCTTTTTGCTCACAGAGCTCTGCCTGCCTCTGCCTCCCAAGTGCTGAGATTAAAGGTGTGTGCCACCACGCCCAGCTATCTTTATTATTTTTAAACAAATATTTTAGTGCCCGTGAGCTAGGATACACAAAAGTAAATCTTTGGAGGACTGAGGGTGTAGCTGAGGTTGATAGAGCATTTGCCTAGCTTGCATACAGCCCAACACTGCAAAATAATAAATAAATAAATAAATAAATAAATAAATAAATAAATAAATAAATAAATAAAGCTTTGGAGGACCTTGTGTTCACAGAGTGGAGTGTGGAGTGCAGTAAATACTGTGTTGAAGGTATGTGAAGGAGAGAGGCACTGGAGGAGGGAGGGCTAGGGGAACATCTGTGTAGTTGAGTCTGCATCTGAGTTAGTGTTGAGCAGGACGGTTTCTGCAAGTCAGAATCACCTGGAGAGTTTTAAAACTCCAAAGTCTGGAACGCACCCTGACCATTAAAGTGTCTCTGAGCTTGGAACCCAGACATCATAACTGCAGATTCCAAAGTGTAGTTAAGGTGAGGCCCACAGGTTTAGGGGATCATTTGTGCCTTTGGTTTTCAGGGGAGCTGAATGTAAGTAAATGGCTATTGTGGTTTGAGGTTTTATGGTTTGTCTTTCTAAGACTGGGACTTCTTATTCACTCTTTCTAAAGAGTCCCCAGAACCACCTTCTGATTTGGATCTGGGAGAAGCAGAAAGGAGGGAGGAGGGAAGGGAGGAGGGGATGAAAGGAGGAGACTTTGGAGCTGTTGCATCTTAGCCCTCAGGGACGTTGTCACAAACCACGCCTCCCTTACTGCCAGGACCTCCTGCAGAATTCCCCCAATTCCATGTCTGGAGTCTCCAATAACCCCCAGGGGATTGTGGTCCCAGCTTCAGCGCTCCAGCAGGGCAACATCGCCATGACAACCGTCAACTCACAAGTTGTGTCAGGTTGGTGCAGGGTACTGGGAATTGTGGGAAACACCCGGGAGAAGAAAGGGTACCCCTAGGGAATTCTAGGATCAGGGGATGTCCTCCTCAAAGGGAGGGACTTCCAGCTTAGTTTCTTAACTAAAGTGTTGTGCAAATAGAGAGAACCAAGATCTGATTACGATGGGGTCAAAGTCTCATAAGCCCCCCAACCAGGACTAAGTAAGACCCAGTCCCTTTCTCCAAATACTTCCCACCAAAGGCTCTGCTTCTCCCCTGAACACCATCTCCCACCCCACCCTCCCACCACTCCTCCCCTATAAGAGGAACAAAAATACATCCTGCCACTGCCCCAGGGCTTCAGAGCTAAGGGTCTTCAGATGTGAGTGCCAAACAACTGGGGACCCTGCTTGCCTTTGCTCTTCCCACCCCCTGCCCACATGGCAGGGCACCCAAAAATTGGTTGTCTCCTCAGGTGGAGCCTTATACCAACCAGTTACCATGGTAACCTCCCAGGGTCAGGTGGTCACCCAAGCAATCCCCCAGGGAGCCATCCAGATCCAGAACACACAGGTGAGTGTATGTAGGTGTATGCACGCCTGCATGGGAAAGGGGGAGGGTGCCTGCAATTGCTCTGTGTGCTGGACACTTAGACAAGTGATTCACTTAATCCTCACTGTCCTCTAAGAGGCTGCTTTACAGATAAGAAGCTGAGACTGGGCAAGGTTTTATCAGCTCATGGGATTTTGCTGCCTCCTGAGTTTAGATCAAAGAATCCTGCATTTCCTGTGCTTGGTCTCCAGAGCTGGACACTCTGCACCTCAGTGTACAGAGCATAGATCTACAGAAAGATCTGAAGTCAGAGTCCTGAGATCTGACATTAACTATGTGATCTTAGATAAGTCCCTTAACCTCTCTGAGCCTCAGTTCTTATCAATAAAGAAGGATTAATACTAACTGCACACAGCCCAGCCAACCTACAGGGCTGTTGTGAGGATTAACCCTGGTGAGGGACAGGAAAGTGCTTTGCAAACTGTAAAATATCACAGAAATGCTAATAACTATTGGATGGTTTATGGCAAATTCATATCTTCAGTACTCTGCATGACCCTGTTTACACCATCTCCTCTCCCATCTCCTCTTCCTCCTCCTCCTCCTCCTCCTCTTCCTTCCTTACTCCTCTCACCCCAAGCCACATCTCCATTATCTGAGGGGCTGGTATGGGGCGAGAGGAAAAGGTAACCTCCCCAGGGCCCTAAGAATGACTTGGGAAAAGGGGGTTGACAATGAAAGCCTGCCATCACTATGGCAACAGATCCCTAGCCACTGGCCTCACAGGCTGCTGATGATGATTTTTTCTTCACGTGCCCTGAAGGTTAACCTTGACCTCACCTCCCTCCTGGACAATGAGGATAAGAAGTCCAAGAACAAACGAGGAGTCTTGCCCAAGCATGCCACCAATATAATGCGTTCTTGGCTCTTCCAACATCTCATGGTGAGTGTGTGTGTGTGCGTGTGTGTGTGTGTGTGTGTGTGTGTGTGTGTGTGTTGGGGGTGTTCCGGGGGGGGGGGGGTAGCCAGACTCTGCAGAGTGTGTGGTCTCAGAGACAGGCTGTGCTAGAAGCTCACTACAGGACATCTCAGAGGAAGCTTAAGTGGGGCTGAAAGCCCGATGACTTCCTAGTGGTAGCTGCTGCTGCCTCCAGAAAGTGTGGAGCCCAGAAGGTAATGGGGACATTCTGAAGAGAGTAAAGCACTGGACAAGTACATTGCATTTTCTTGTGAACAGGGAGGTTGTGGAGTACACTGTGGTTACTTCTCCAGGTTCCCACAGGCAGCCACGGGCACCTTGTCATCCTTCCACAGAAGATGTTCATTCTCTGCCAGCATTCTAAAGTCCATTTTACTGGGGGAAGCAGGGTGCACATTCGTCTTCCTCCAGGTCAGAGCAGGGGAAAAGGAATAGTGCAGAGAAACACAGTTGTGAATACTGCTTGAAAGGCAGCCTCGGTCAGAGTCCTGGCCTTTCCATGTCACCAACTCAGCTCTACCTCACAGAGCACTGCTGTCAAAGTTTTCAGTCACACATTTTATAAAATAGCACTGTTAGGGCTGGAGAGGTGACTCAGTGGTTAAGAGCACTGACTGCTCTTCCAGAAGACCCAGGTTCAGTTCACCCATATCATAGCTAACAACTCTCTATAACTCCAGGTCCAGGGGAATCTGACGCTCTCTTCTGACTTCTATGGGCATTGCACAACAGCAGGTACATTTATATACATGCAGGCAATACACTCATACACATAAAATAATAAATAAAATATTAAAAAAATAAAATAACAGTGCCTCAGGTTAAAACACAGTATCCATAAAGTGCCTACTGTGTGCACAAAACATGTTGGCATTTGTGTGTAGTGTCAGTCTTTGGTTAAATGTTTCAAATGACTAAAATTTTAACCTCTCAGTACTGATTTCAAGACCACTAGCAATAACTTAAGGTCAATGACTGTGTGTGTGTGTATGTGTGTGTGTGTGTGTGTGTGTGTGTGTGTGAGAGAGAGAGAGAGAGAGAGAGAGAGAGACAGAGAGAGAGAGAGATTGTGTTTGTGCATGCGCCTATGGGCATGTTCACACCCTGAAGTGGGGAGTCTCTATGACCACAGGTTGGCTGCAGCAGGCTGCATCTCTTGCCCTGGCATGTTAGCACACATATTCACAGCTATAAGACAGATGACAAGAGACTGGACACACTGGCCTGAGAACTGTGGGAAGGACCAGGAGCAAAGGGACAGCTTTCTTAGAGAGAAGAGGAACATCAAGTGATCACAGAAAGTAGTCTACCATTAATCACGAACTAATTAATCAGCCCTTTATTTGAAATGAGAATGCCTCAGAAGTCACAGAGGCTAGGCCTAGATAGTGGTTCTCAGACTTTGATGGCAGCAGACTATGGCCTGACTGTGGTCTTAGGAACTTTACCTCAGTGGCACTGGTCCTATGTGCCACTGGGCAGGGGACAGATAGCTTTGTGGGGATTGATATGGAGGGATATGTGGACCAGAGCTCTGCATCTCCCAGAAGTAACCTCAGGTCTCGGGATTGGACTACTGCAGTGGTTTGTTGAACAAGCACACTTTGAAATCCCTGTTTAACTGGGAAACCGAGTAATTCCAAAACCTAATTCAGAGAGAAGGGACTAGAAAGCTGAGAGTTAAGAACAGAAGAGGAGGCTGGGGAGACCCCCCCACCCCAAGAAGCAAAGGAACAGAGCCAGGGAAACAGGAGCTTGAGGTAGCAGTGCCCAGGTGTCCTGCCTATTCTGATTTTCTAGTTCATCAGAGAGCCAGTGAGCTCAGGTGGCTTCCACAGCCCTAGGAGCCCACTGTCCAGGATATAGCTTGATGCCCATCTATGGGAAGACCTGTCATCTGTGCTCTGACCTTTCACAATCAAGATCAGGACAGCACAAGCTACACCCTCCACAGGCTCCACTCATGATGTGGTGATGGGAGTATAGACTGATGGGTGTGGTAGAAACCTGGGTTCAAAACCAGGCTTTACTTCTTAGTCTATAACCTGGATATGCTCACTTCATACGAAGACTGGGAGGGAGCCGTGACATAGTTGCAGAGACCCTGGCACTCTGAGGTACTTAATGCTCCATGCCTTTACTCCTGCTCCCGTGCATTTTCGAAGTGCGGCATGAACATACCTGTGGCTCATCACAGCTACCTCCTTCTCCCCATGTGTAGCTTAGGCTGAGACTCTAGCCTGAGGGTGGAAGGGCCATGTCTCATTTCTTGCCTTGGACCTCAGTTCATGTCCTGCCCTGCCCTTGAACATTTCCTACAGCTCAGCATCTTTCCTTTCCGCTTCTTGATCACTTCTCACCTGAATTTAGGAAGTAGCGGGAAGAAGTGGAGAGCACGATGCAGAAAGGAAGGGCCCAACTCAGCTCTAAAACAAGATGTGGGACAAGGCAGAGACCTTACTGGAAAACGTGTGTCTGCACCTTCTGTCTGTGCTTCTAACCAGCCTGTCATTCTCTCCATCCTGGAAACATGCTTGGGTGCTATGTGAATCATAAGCAAAGTCCTCCCACAATTAATGCCTTCATTGAGATGGCCTCAAGAGATGATGAGGGAGTGACCACTGGGCTTCCAAAGTCAGAATGTAGAACTTTTGGACTGAATGGAAGAAGTCTAGGCTACTTTAGGGAAATGAGCAATGAGTGGCTGTCCTCTGCAGACCATGGCTGAGGTATACAGCCAAGGACCTCAAGAGCAGCATGACCATCTGTGCACATAGAGACAACCCTTCTCACCTCTAAGCAGGACACCAAAAGCTCCTGGTGACCAGACACAGTGGAGGGAAGACAGGCTTGAAGCCAAGCACATTGGGGTATAGACTGAGTTTCTCCCACAGCTGTGTAATAATATTGATTACATTTTTTTGATAAAATATGATATTTATTTCTTAGGGTGGTGAAAGCTAAACAAGAAAACAAACATACATGGCCATTGGGTCCACCCTTAAGAAATGGTTCATTAGGCAATATGGTAGACACCTGGGATCCTACCTCTTGGGAGGCTGAGCAGAAGGATCTTGAGTTGAAAGCCAACCTGGGTTACATAGCAAGACCCTGTCTAAAAACAATAAAAAAAAGAGAGAATTCTCCCTTTTGAACCTTGTAGGATAGTGAACTAAGAGCAAAGTTTTATATTACTGGGTTTTGTTTTTGAGACAAAGTCTTACTATGAGGTGCAGACTGACCTCGAACTCATGATTCTGCTGCTGTTGCAGTCTCCTAAATGCTAAGATTACAGGTGTGTACCACCACACCCATCTTGGAACAAATGTTTGAGGCTGAGGCCAAATACTTGTGAAATCTAAAGGTGGGTGGCTGATATGTCATTTCAATTTGAAACAGTAACTGATTTTGTCATCATCTGATCCTGAGAGTAGATTGCCTATAGGGCTTTCCATAGGTGTAGGTGTGTCTGTATGCTTCGTATCTCTGAAGTTGATGAATATCCCCAAGAATGGGGATTGTGCATCATTCTTCTGTGGCCCTTATAGCCTTGATTCCCAGTGTATGCACTGCCTCAGGATTCATTAGGTATTCCAAAAAGTCATTGCAGGATTAAACATTTGAGTAAATCTGGGTTCTACAAGGCCAGAGGTTGACATCAGGTGTCAGGTCTGTCAACAAACCTGGAGCTTACCATTTTGACTAGACTGGCTAGCCAGGGAGCCCCCAGGATCCCCTTATCTTCACCTATTTGCTGCCATGCCCAGCTTTTATAGGGGTGCTGCAGATCCAAATTCAGATCCCCATGCTTGAACATCAAGTGCTTTACCCACTGAGCCATTCCCCTAGCCCTATTTCTTTATTCTTAAAGTACTGGGTCACATGGTGAGTTGCAAGATGGATAAGGTTTGAGACTTATCCCAAACATTTGAACTCTAAATCACCCTCGCTTTTGTCTTTGATGCTCTGAGAATCACCCCTGAGATTACAATTCATGGGAAATCCCACTCATGGTTCTATCACATTGGGCAGACACTGGCTGTCCATCTTTAGGAGAGAAGAGAAGTGTGAAGGATAAACAGACCTTCCAGTACCAGAAATTTTCTATCTCCAGCATAGTTGGATCAACTGGTTTATCTGTTGATTAATTTGAAAGGCTAGCTAAAAAGGAACCATTGAAACGACATGCTTTATGTTCATTGAGAAAATGTAAATGTATGATAGAGGGCCAAGGTCTTTTTTCTGACTAAAGTTTATCAGTTTGCTTGTATAAACCCTTCCTATAATTAAACAGATCTGAATTCCATCTTCACATCAAGTGGAAAAAGAACATTGACTTTTGGGATCTAATCTGGCTACAGAATCTTCTGAATCTTAATTTATTCCAATCGCTATATGTGTCCTAACCCAGTCCTAACTAGTCAGCATTTCAAAGCAAATTTGAGTCTCAAATTTTCCAGAGTTTTCTACCAAGTCTTCTTAGCAACAATAACTCTTTCTTTTTGCACCATATTTCATTCATTGAATCACAGAATTACAGTATCTTGTGTAATTATAGTATCTTGCTGGCATACAGCAGTCTGAACAGAAGTGTGGCTGACTTTCTGATAAGCAGGTAATTTGGCTGGTGAACCTTCTACAAAGCATTCTATTCATCCTGAGGCCTGGGTCTGGAGCCAGTAGATGTTTTAGGCAAAGCATAGAGCGTTCCATACCCTGCCACCTTGGCTAAACACAGTGATTCTGAGCACTTCTGTGAACACTTTCCCTCAGGTGGAAGTTAGCATTTTCTTCTTGTTTTTGTCCTGTGTCACAGACTTCTTGTTTTGACTGTTCTGTGGATGGGCGGTTAGAGAGATGCATTCAGATGATAGAGAACACCGAGATGGCGGTTATATCCCAGAGCCTTCTTAGCTGCAAGGCTGCAGTGAGACTGGAACAGTGTCACGCTTAGCTGCTGATTT